GGTTGCGAACTGTGCAAACCCGCAATTGCTTCGATTCTGTCTAGTTTGTTCAACCCACACATCATGGACAAGGGCTTTAACGATTTACAAGAGACAAATGACAAATTCCTCGCCAATATCCAAAGAAACGGCACATTCTCGGTGGTACCCCGAATTCCAGGTGGTGAAATAACGGCCGATAAACTCATTGCTATCGGATCCGTAGCCAAGAAATACGGTCTTTATTGCAAAATTACCGGTGCACAGCGCATTGACATGTTCGGTGCGAAGAAGCAGGATCTTCTAAATATTTGGACTGAACTTGTGGATGCGGGTATGGAGAGTGGACACGCATATGCAAAGGCTCTTCGAGCAATCAAAGTAAGTTGGGCGAATGATCTTTCAAGAGAAGATCAGCTGACAGTGAACGCTCAGAGTTGTGTTGGAACCACATGGTGTCGTTTTGGTGTCGGTGACAGTGTCGGAATGGCAATTCGACTGGAAGAACGCTACAAGAGTATTCGTGCGCCACACAAGTTCAAGGGAGCTGTATCTGGCTGTGTGCGAGAATGTGCCGAGGCCCAAAACAAAGAGTGAGTGCAAAATAATCTGATGCTGGTAAAAGCACTCAGTGCTAACATTTATCAGCTTCGGACTCATTGCCACCGAAAATGGGTTCAACATCTTTGTTGGAGGCAACGGAGGTGCAAAACCCAGGCACGCTGAACTCCTTGTCACGGATGTACCAGCCGAGATGGTGATGCCTATAATCGACCGTTACTTGATCTTCTACATCCGCACCGCCGATAAACTCCAGCGAACAGCACGATGGATCGAGAATCTCCCAGGCGGAATCAACTACCTCAAAGAAGTGATCGTGGATGATAAACTTGGAATCTGTGCCGACATGGAAAAACAAATGCACGAACTAGTCGATAGTTATTTCTGCGAGTGGACCGAGACCGTGAAAGACCCCAAGCGCCGAAAGATTTTCCAACAATTTGCAAACACAGAGGAAACCGTCGAGACAGTAGAAGTTATCCAAGAACGATCTCAGCAACGACCCACATACTGGCCAAAGGAATCTACCGAGCGACAGGACTTCAAAGGCCACAAGTGGTCAAGCGTCTCCTGGCAGCCGGTGGTTCGAGCAGACCATTTCTCCGACGAGCCACCTCAGGTCTCATCGGCGAATGTCAAGCGCGGCGACACGCAACTTGCTGTCTTCAAGATTAAGGGCAAGTTCTATGCGACACAGCAGATGTGTCCGCACAAGCGAGCTTTTGTTCTTTCTGATGGCCTTATTGGTGATGATGATGCTGGAAAATATTGGGTGTCGTGTCCGTATCACAAGCGCAATTTCGAGCTCAATGGTGAACAGGCAGGTCGGTGCTCAAATGATGAAAGCATGAATATTGCTACTTTCCCTGTTGAGGAGAGAGACGATGGCTGGGTATATATCAAACTCCCTCCGATTGAGGAGTTGGATTCCATTTTGGGGACGGAGAAGTGGAAAGTGCGTAAGGGCGAGGCGGAGGACCCGTTCCATAAGGTTGATAAGAAGTTCAAGGGTATGAAGGGGAAGAAGATTACTGATGGTTTCTTGACTCGTGCACCAACGGTGCAACCAGCGAAGTCCATTGATTGGTAGTTTCCATGTGGTAGTATGTTGGTTTATTTGATAGTTTTGCGATGGAACAGGTTGGCGTATGGAAGCATGGAGATACTTAATGGCCTTATGAGTAAATTTGAGAATATAAGTACTTTGAATTAATTGTCTTCGTTATTTCTTTTCCTAAAATGATAGATTATCACATTCTATGTAGATATTGTCAAACGGGCCAGTATATATCGTTGTTCAATTGAATCACATAAGAGATATGTCCAGGTGCGAGGTCATTCGAGAGAATGTATGCTGCTTCAATATATGAAAAACAGTGGTCTCAATATATATATACGAACCTAACTATGTAAGACTCAGCACCAACAGTGTGTAACCTGCCATCCGGGCTATTTCTCGCGTAGTCAACGTCGACTAGATCCCTTATCTCAGGGTATTGTGAACATTATGAACATAAAATTCCGCATATACTAAAAATATCAGGGCAAATAGAAAGTACCCGCCTAGAACCAGGGCTAAGAAGCCCGTGCTTTCTTGTACTCAAGAAAGAAGCCCTAACTTTGGACCCTAGACGATACCAGACCTTAGGTCATCAGGGTTCACCCCCATGATCCGACAACCAATCGACTACAGTGCCAACGAGATTTAAGTATTTCCGCGGAGCTTAGATGGACCCTTTTTCTGCGATACAAAGACCCGCCGGGCTGAGTTTGCTCTTCAGTCCCTATCGCGGTTGGCTTGGCATCCAATGAGGAGGCTCGTGTTTATCAACGACACAAATTCCTGGCCACCGTGGAGAAAAAGCTCACCCCCAGATTCGATTTAATGCTATGATGTAAGTTTGAGGTTCCTAATTAAAAGGGTCCGCGGAGTTACATTAAGTAGATTGATTGACTGATTCAGACGATTAGGGTTTGCCTCCAATCGTGGCACTGGGCATGGTATACATCCCAGAGTGTGATAGGTCAACCCAAGGCATACCTTATCTCCATCATAATTCCAGCGTAGGATACTGCGGAAGCTTCAGGAATGAAATCTGGAGCAAAAAGTAAGTTTAGCACTCAGAATCTGATGATCTTTGCGGCAACCTTGTCTTTACGTTGTATCAAATCAGGGATCTGAGATATACTCGATGATAAATCTTGACTAACTGTTTTTGATTGACAGCACCTAGCTATCTGCGGTAATTGGACGACCTGACATGCAAGAGAAATCTCTGCCTGATTGTTGTTGCATGTGTCATATAAGATATATACTTCAGCAAACAAAGCATATAAACATCTATATAGATGCGAGACTATTTATTTTTCAACTTGCATCTTCCTCAAAACATTTCAAAGAAACTCTTGCTCCAGTCTAAGCCTCAAGTCCGTATCAAGTTAGCAGAGCGTTTTTATTAGAATATCCCGAGCCTACTTCTACTCCATTGCTCGAATACGAAGAGCCCGCCCACGAAAATGGCATCAAGCTTTGTTAAACAGCTCTTTATATCACCGGAAATCAACCCAAGTAACCGCAAAGCCAAGTCTATTCCCATATTGAACCCTTTTGATCAATATGGACGCGTGTTCTTCTTCTCGTGGCTTGGTTTCATGGTGGCATTCCTATCATGGTATGCATTTCCACCACTGGTAAGTTCATGATTCAATTGCAACATATTTTATATACGAAAAGGGCTCATGTCTAATTTCATTCGTCTTCCTAGTTGAGTGTAACCATCAAAAAAGACTTGAATATGACACAAGATGATATCGCCAACTCGAACATCGTCGCACTTCTGGCAACGTAAGTACCAGAGTATTGAATCAATCGAAGAAACACCTCTCTAACAGTTACAGCCTACTCGTCCGATTTGTTGCAGGGCCACTCTGTGATCGCTATGGCCCACGCTTGGTCTTCGTGGGACTACTCCTATGTGGAGCCATTCCTACAGCTATGGCCGGTCTTGTCACTGGCCCCAAGGGCCTCATAGCTCTCCGATTTTTCGTTGGAATTCTGGGAGGAACATTCGTCCCATGCCAGGTCTGGTGCACTGGTTTCTTTGACAAAAGTATTGTTGGCACTGCCAATTCCCTCGCCGGAGGTTGGGGTAATGCAGGCGGAGGAATCACATAGTGGGTGTTTACCTTTTCTCGTTTGAATCTTATGAATATACTAACAAAATCGCTTCAGTTTTTTGATGCCCGCCATCTACGACTCCCTTGTTCATTCCCGGGGCCTCTCTTCCCACAAAGCATGGCGTGTCGCCTACATCGTCCCATTCATCATCATCACCGTCGTCGCCTTGGGCATGCTGTTCCTCTGCGAAGATACACCAACAGGAAAGTGGTCTGAGAGACACCTCTGGGCAAAAGAGTCAGACAGCACTACCTCGGGCACTGACGGCAACATCGTTGATATCAACTCCGGCACTCTAACTAGCGGAATGACGACTCCCTATAACTCCGCAACAATCGACATCGAAAAGAAAGGCGCCCAGTCACCACAAGTCGTAGACACTGACACATCAACAATGGGGCAGATCGACATCTTCAAACAAGAGACAATCGTCTCCCCAACTCTCCGAGAGGCTCTGAGCGTGGCTCTGAGTCTATCCACAATGGCTCTGGCAATCCCCTACGCCTGCTCCTTTGGCTCAGAGCTAGCAATCAACTCAATCCTGGGATCTTACTACACAAAGACCTTCCCACACATGGGCCAAACAAAATCAGGCCAGTGGGCTGCCATGTTCGGTCTGCTGAATGCCGTCTTCCGACCCGCAGGTGGTCTATTCGGAGACTTGGTTTACCGGTACACAGACAAGGTTTGGTCGAAAAAGCTTTTGATCACATTTTTGGGGGTTGCGATGGGAGCTTTCCAGCTTGCGATCGGATTATCGAACCCGTCCACGGAGGCGGCTATGTTCGGTCTTATCGCGGGGCTGGCTTTCTTCCTTGAGGCATCTAATGGAGCCAACTTTGCTCTTGTGCCTCATGTGCATCCTTTCGCTAATGGTATGTGGTCATGTTCTTACTCCCTAAATCACGTTGTTAAAGCTAACACCTTGTCACTAGGTATTGTTTCTGGTATTGTTGGCGGGTTCGGTAATCTTGGTGGAATCGTGTTTGCGATTATCTTCAGATACAATGGGTCAAGCTACGGACGGTCGATGTGGATCATCGGTGTTATATCTATGGCGGCTAATTTGGCCGTTTCCTGGATTCGTCCTGTTCCTAGGAGTCAGATGCTATCCTGAGAGATATTTTATATGCTTTTGTAATTACGAATACCAACTTCGATCTACTAACTAATGATATTTGACCTATATTCGTAAAGATCGTCAAATATCTGCTCTGTTCGGTTTAGAGCATCCTGCAGTGGGGTATCTTTATATACAATGCAGTTTATATAAGAATGAAGCTTAGTTGGACCCTGACTGCCTATGCGCAATGGTTCTAAGCAAAGCCATCATCCCGTCCATAGTAGCAGCCATGCTATCAATTCGACGTTCTAGCCTAGTGATATCCGACCTTTTAGCCGCGGTGGAGGCCTCACTAGCTGCTCGAGTATTCATCATACTAAGAAATAAGGCCATTTCTGTGTGTAGTGATATCGGGGGAGTCGGTGGCTTTAACATACCGACTTGCGTAGGATTCGCCTCATTTATAGGTCTTTTATCCCTTGCCCGTTGTACTGATTCATCGGCCATACCATCCCCGGCAGAGTTGGTAGATATCTGGGGCCTAGTACCCACACTAGCGAACTCCTTTCGTTGTTCGTTTGCTCTTAAGTTCTGTTGTAGCACTTCGTATATCTCATTGGCATAGTCAAAAATAGCAGCTTCAGTGGCGTTCATTCTAGCCCGGTCAGCCTTTGGTATAGATAGTATAGCGCCATGCACTTTGAGCCTTTCGGTGACATGCTTATGAACAGTTTGTTGATTGATGTTCCGCCCAGTATTGGCTCTCCATACGTCTGCAATCGACTCATAAAGAGAAGCATTGCCTTTCATGCTAGTGAACCGATCTTTATAGTACACAGCAATGCGTAGTAGCTCGAGATCATCTTCAGTTGAAAGGGGCGAAGCTCTAGGGGCTTTACTAGGCGTTTGACCAAGCGTTTGACTGAGCAATTGATTCGGCATTTGACCAAGAATTTGACTCGGCGTTTGGCCCACAGTTGGAGCAGCACTGGGGATTGTAGCTGGAGCAACAATCTGAGCTACAGTTGGAGAAACAGGCGGAACAGTAGGTGGAGCAGCATTTTGACTAGCAGTTTGACTAGGTGTCGGCGTTGCTGGAGAGTTGGATTGTACCTGCCAGGGGGCTGGTGGAGCGTACCAACCCCTAATCACAGGGGGCACTGCGCCTGATTGAGACTGCAAGCTGGTGGCTTCATTGCGCGGAGGGGGCTCGGTCGGGGGCTGTACACCTTGGCGGGGTGAAGTAGGCCATCCAATACTATCGGGCGTAGTATTTTGGGTTTCAGTTTCGTCAGCCATAGGAAATGAGGTGGGTGGTGAGGTATAAAAATAGATAACCCAGATCTCCGAGCATTTAGCGAAATGCTCATAATGCCAAGAAATATAAAGTAGGTGCTGACATGTGTCTAAGTTTACGGCAGCTGATTTGGACCAAATTTGACAATACTTATTAATACATATATAAGTTTCCGCCTTTTTTGCCATATACAACATAATACATTCCACCTATTCTAAATTTACATTTCTTGTTAATCACCATGAAAATATACTGTGTAGTGCGACTATAATTACATTTCTAGTATCGTATGGTTCCGTTGGCGGCGATTGCTAATTTTCTGCGTGGCAGAAACGCATTGTCGAATTCTGGCCCGAATCGTCTGCCGTACTTAATTCGTCAATTCACTAAACTATATTAGGCGGGGGCGAGCCGAGCCGAGCATTTTCAACACTACCTATGTACGGAGCTTCTTGCTACAATATGCCATATGCAGCATCCTATATACATGATGCGCACTCCTCAACTGGCCATTTATGACACTTCATACCTTAATCCTGCTAGGTCACTTATGTGCCACCAAAAAAATTCCGGCTTACCGAAGAACGACATTAACAAGCAGACTGCCGAAGCGAAGTATGTTTCTTACCCATAAGTATTTCCTTGGGCTTTAATAAAGCCAATGAATTGTTGGATTGATTTAGGGTTAAACTGCTTTATTCACGGGCACCGAGATCTCGAAGATATGCCTCCAGCGTAGGCGACCTCCCCAAAAATGCCTCGAGGGCCATCATCTCATTTTGACTTCCTCCTGGTGCCAGTATCATTTGTCGGTATCGGAGACCAACCTCAGGACTCATTGGATTTGAACGAAAATTAGAAAGCCATATATCAGCCGCCAATATACGGGTGCTAGGAGGTGAGTTGATCATCAGCCTGTTCCTCTGTGTAAGCGACGAGTTAACATACTAGAGATAGGAATAATAGTTCGCTTCTTGACCCCACATATAATGCGAAGTGGTAATATGTCCATTCCCCCAATTTACCTTGTCGCCGGGGCCCTGTAGAAGTGTCGTTCTCTGCAGGAGTGAGTTATACACCTCGCCAGTACGCATTGACTGAATGAAGGAGTGGGAATTAGGACAGTGGATTTGCATGTCAAATTTGCTGAATGCAATTTGCCTGAGAGTGAGAATCCCTTGATTGACCGCTTTAGCTGCAATAAGGCTGTGGACCAAATCGTCTGGGATCTCCCTAGGAGGCTGCACAGTGGTAGAGGACCATTTCTTATCAGAGACGTAGGAATAGTGGCAACTAAGCATCTGGAGACATTCAGGGACCCAGCACCAATATTCAAGCAACTGACTGGGAGCTTCAACGAAATCTGCAACTGTTCGATGTCCATGGAAGATCGCATACTTGGATCTTCCGAGGAGATCATGTATGCCTTTTCAAGTTTCAGTTAATTAAGTTCAAGATTTCTGGTTTTAATTTCACTTACCGTGGCCTAACTCATGGAAAATTGTAATTAATTCCCGATGCTGTAGAAGAGCCGGCTTATCTGACGATGAATGCGAGACATTGCATACTAAGGCGGTGGCAACCGGCTGCGTCTGCTTTCCCGCGAATGAGTAAGACTTGAACTAATGTGTTAGTAAAAGGTCTTTTTGGTAATGATTTTCTCCTAGACACGAACAGGATAGATGTTGAAATTGGCTGCATGATTGTACTTGCCCTCTCGGGGGTAAATATCAAGGTAAAGAAATCCCAGAAAAGCCGATTCTTCGTCTCGCACACTAAAGGCTCGGACATCGGGATGCCAAACTTGCTCCTTGGTGACTTCAACGAGTACAATTGATAGGCTGAAGATTGTTTCAAACACCTTTAGCATCCGTTGAATTGTAATCTCTGCGGGAAAGTACTCCGCAATCAACTCGTGATCGGTATTGTACTTTTCTCGTAGTAAACGGTCATTGTAGTAGTCAAAATCCCATAGATAAAGAGAAGGGGAAGAGTACTCTCCATCTTCTTCATCTCCCCTTCTAAGGAGCTTTAAATTTTCCAACTCCTCCTGCGCGAGGGGCTGCAAGTTATTGTAGAGTTCATCCAGTAACTGGTCAACATCATGTGGGGATGTAATCATCTTGTGTCTCGACTTCTGGGCAGCAAAAGACGAAAACCCAAGTAAACGGGCAGATTCATCCCGAAGGATGACTGCCTCATTGAATATTTCAAGATTATCCGGGAAGATATTTTGGCTCCGAAGGAATACGTCTTTTCGCGTCTCCGCGATGTGACACCGAGTCAATACCATAGTTATATCCGGCTTCTTAAGCTTGATACCCCTTTGGGTAGTTGAAGAATGTATAGGTAATGCTTTCAGGGTTTCTGCGGCTATGCCCTCTAGCTCACAGTCTTCTTTCCACACATAGCCAGGATCAGAGCTAAGATTCTCCATGAACGCAACTCGTAGCTCAATTAGACGTTTTGAGATCCAAAGGAATCTGTCTTGCTGCTCCCCTTGTAGTTCAAGTCCATTTTCCATAAACATTGAGTGAAACCTTTCAACAAGCTTTTGATCTTCGCTCTTTGCATTTTTCTCGGCGTGGTTATTCTCCTCTGCTTGCTTTTTATAAACAGCGTTGACCAAGGCAAAAAGAGACGGTATTTGGAAAAGACCGAGATATGCTTTATCAACCATATTCACAACCGTTGAGGATGCCTTGCGCATTTCAGGCGAAGGAGAAACTGCCTGAAAGAGAGCTAAGTATTGAACCTTTGCTTTGATTTCGTTGTCAATGTCTGCCAGCGGGCGAATCGAATTCTCAAATGTCGCATTTTGCGGGGAAACACGGCTTATTAGGTCATTCGAAGCTTGCTGAAGATGGTTGATCAAGCCCGTCGCAATCTCCAGCAGTGTGGACGGGCTGATATTGAAATTAGGTGGTTCGGGAATAGATGCCATTTTCGAAAAAGTAGAATTTTTGCGATTGCAGGCGTTGGTTTCTTCAGACAACCGTGATTGGTACTAGGTCAAGATGAAGGTATCAGGAAAATCAAGAGAGCTAGAAAGAAGATCTTCCAGGATTAGTTTTAATGGCGCACATTGATCTATTTAGGAAGGTGGGGGAGTCCCCTCCTCAAGTGCAGGGGTCAGATAGAGAACGTTGAAAAGAGATATCAAAGTACACCAGTTGACGATTTAATGTATTGTGACCGTATGTATCCGTATTCAAGCTCCTCCATGTGGATACGTATATGCCAAGCTCTCGGGTTAGCGCACTCCGAGTGCGGGTTGAAGCTGAGGCGAGAGGGGCATAAATGAGTTCTCTTGGGACTTTCTTACATTCTACTCTAACCCCAAATATTTCAAGCTCCATTCAATTTCTGTCTAGGAACATTTCATCATGGCTCAACTTGAACCCCGCCGCTTCGCCCAAATCGTCCACCTCAAGCCCTCCGCTGTCGCGGCATACAAGGAGTGCCACGCCAATGTCTGGCCTGAGATCCTTCAAAAGATCAGAGATTGCAACATCATAGACTGTAAGTTTCAAGGTTGAAAATATGTATAAACATACATACTGTTTGTTCAAAGTGGCTGAGATTGTATATTTCCGCTGGTGTAGACTCGATCTTCTTTGATAATGATCGGACTCTGTTCGCGAGCTTCAAGTATATCGGCACAGACTATGAAGCCGATATGAAGCGTATGGCTTCATTGCCGAAAATGAAAGAGTGGTGGGCTATGACTGATGGGATGCAGGTATGTTGAGGATTTAACACAAATGAAGAGATACAGGCGCTAATCCAAAGAACCCGGTATTAGGAAAGCCTTATTCCTGGAGCCTTGGGCAGTGCAGAGGGTCCGGGATGGTGGAAGCCCTTGGAGGAAGTGTTTCGTACAGAGTAAATCTTGCGGCCCTTGTGAACATGGTTGAACTTGTACATAGTCACAGCTTATCTGTTAACCAGTTGAGGATTGGAAGAATTGATTAATCTTTCTTTGTTTCACGTCATGCGCGGCAGTTCCAACCCCACCCCTGGTGCGATGGAGATTGGCAAGATGTTTCTTGTCATCTATACTCAGAACAAAAAATGCGAGGCCTGGGATGACAAGAGGCGGCATGGTCCTTTCTGCCGGGGTCGGGGTAATCAGTATCATCATGTAACCGGTGTTTGACCAGACAGGCTTCGTATGAAGCGCAGCCATGTTGGTATCCACTGGATTGAAGACCTCGATAAAATATGCCCATAGCTCCTGGAGGATAATACCGTGGGCAACCACTGCGATGTTTTGTCGGCTGTGTGGGTCACGCATCAGTAGCGGGAGCAAGTGTTCGTCGAAGAAGTTTTTAACCCTCTTTCTCATCGACGATTTTGACTCAGAGATGACCCAGTCTTGCGGTTTTGGTGATGGAGGAGAGGCTCTCCAGAAGTAGCCTTCCATCGATCCATAATCTTTCTCTCTTAAATCCCGAGTCAATATAGGTTCCAAGGGTGTTTCACCGGAAGGTGAAACCTGTGCATGGCAGACTCCCTCAGCTGTAATTTTTGCTCGACTTAAGTCTGAGGAGAATACCGTCGTGAATTTAGTCGAATTGGAGACGAAATGCTGAGCGAGACAATTGATCTGAGCCATCCCATGGCTGGTCAGTGCCGAGTCAGTGGTGCCCGCCCTATGATAAAGTTAAGTGGGAATGCCAATTCGGATAAATGGGCTCCTACAGGACTTTTCCAACATTATGCACTGTTTCCGCATGGCGGATTAGATATAGTTGCATTGCGAGGTGGGATCGTAAATTTAAAGCCAGGAAATATCTGTATTTGGGTGGGCAAAACAATACTAAGGGAAAATAAAGAGAGGGTCTATATAAAGGGGTAGGAACAAACATTGTCGCTATCAACAAAGAATGAGAGTTGGGAAAGTTGGCTAGCCCCTTTCGGAAATATCTGATGCCTCAAATTTCAGGGAATGTTTGATCGAGGCCGACGAATGGCTATAGCTCTTATATCTGAAAGTATCAAGACTTACAACCAGATAAAGGACCTGTAAAACCATCCCTGAAAATGGCCGTTGACAAAGTCAAAAATGATTATATTCCCACCCAGTCCAGTCAATTAGTCCGAATAGGCTAGTTCATTTACTAGATTTAGCGACATGCGTATGATAAATATATCAGTCTTCGTATACCTAGGACTCCATGTTATTCTATATACTCATTTCTAGCGATCTATTCGACTCGAAGGCGATTTCGCGTTAGAATAAGAGACATGATATTCTGTGACCTTCCCATTGTCATTGATAGACCTCCGCAAAGCCCATTCGTGGGGGCCCATAGGGCCCCCATTATAGCCCATTTAGGGGGTTTCAACTAGCATCTTGTAATCGCTGTATTCTGACCCTTCTACTAATCTTATAGAGCTTAAATGTAGACTTTAGAATTGCAATTGCTATCTAAGTACGGAGTACTCCGTATATATCCTAATTTACATTAAATCTGACCAGTGGAGGTCGAGAAAAGGTTAATATATATTTCGGATCTATACGGAGAACCACCGCTTTTTGTGTGAACCTCTATAATTTGAAACCTACCTAAATAACGCGTTACTTCGCGTGTTTAGAAGTAATAGTTAGTCATATAAATTCAACTAATTATTAATAATATATCAGTTAAAATAACTAGTAAACTATTACCTTAGGTAGAATAAAGGCTAACAACACATAAGGTAATTTAAAAAAGTCACGTTTCTTAGAATGTTTGTATACTTTGGTGCTTATTGGGCCCTATTGGGCCCCCATTTGGAGCCCAGTGGGCTTTCACCCCGGGCCCGGGTGGGCCTAAAGGACCGGGCCCAAAACCCAGCCCATTAGTGGGTTGGGGCGGGTTGGGGTTTGGGCTTTGTGGACTTTGCGAAGGTCTACTTCCCGATACCCTTTGCATTTTGATATTGGGCTTCGCCGCCCAGGAGGAGGATCCGGCCTGCGCTCTCCTCCGAGGGGCAGTTTCGGAATTCGCTGGCTTGGTTCGCACTGAGTAATGGAGGGGTGGTCGAAGGGGGTTTTCTTTTTTGTCGCTGCATGACGTTAAAGGCGCTAGTTTGAGAATTGTTGGGGGCCAACTTCAACGGTGATCGGGATTGGTTTTGAGGAATAATTATATTCAACCCACATAACTACACCAGGTTCGTGCTAGTCAGATTGAAATTAATTAGAAGGTCCCCATTGATCGAAAACCGAAACATAAAAGGCTCCTGGATACGGAGTACTAACTACATAAGGTAGCAACGCGGAATATGTGCCCCTGGCTCTGATGCTACACTGGGTTTCGCCTTTATTTTACATCAAAATAATTCTCAAGGTATACTATGATTACAGTTGGAGGCGGATGAAAAACTTTGTCTAGTTTCCTCTTATGTAATCAATAGTGAGCCATCGTGCTCTTCAAACGGCAGTCACCAAGAAAACTTGGTCCTTTTACGAGCAACCACATGATGAAGTTCTTCTCCATTATCAGTGCCTTCTCGGCAATTCTGTCGTGTACAGCTGTTGTCTCCGCGCAGTCCGACCCCGACCCAATTGGCACCATCTATGATGGACATGTGCCAGCTGATCTATACGGATCTAGCTACCCCTATCCTTGGCCAGTGAAGCTGTTCAAGTTCTATAATCAGCGTCAGAACCTTACAATGGCATTCATGGATATACCAGCAAAGAAGCAACACAAGAGCAAGAAAACAGCGGTCTTGCTACACGGTGGGAACTTCTGCAGTGTCACATGGTCCGACACGGCGCGCCAGCTGTCGGCCGCCGGCTACCGAGTGATTCTGCCTGACGACATAGGCTTCTGCAAATCGAGCAAGCCCCAAGGCTATGCCTACAATGTACATCAACAGGCGTTGAATATCCACAGCCTTCTCACTGCGCTAGGCATCGATCAAGCCACGGTTATCGGCCATTCGATGGGTGGCATGATTGCCGCCCGCTACGGCCTCATGTACCCGACTAGCGTTCAACAGCTTTTCCTCATCAATCCTCTGGGTCTGGAAGACTGGGTAGCCAAGGGTGTGCCCTATTTGTCAGTCGATGCGTCGTACGGGAGCGGGCTTGGCCAAAACTTCACCACCCTCAAAGCGTATGAGCAGGCCAGCTACTTCCCCAATGCTCCCTGGAAGCCTGAGTACGATACATGGGTGCACATGCTCGCCGACATCTATGCTGGCAATTATGGTTCAGACTATTCGTACGTGATGGCCCTCGTCACTGACGCCTTACTCAGCCAGCCTGTCATCTACCAGCTGCCTCTGCTGCAGACACGTACCTACCTCCTGGTAGGAGATAGCGACGTTTCGGCGCTTGGTAAAGCATGGTCATCCCCTGCCATCGCTGCGAAGCTAGGCCATTATGATGAACTAGGTCCTGCTGCCGCGGCCATGATCCCCAACTGCACGCTTCACATGTTCCCCGGTCTAGGCCATGCGCCCTTCCTCCAAGACCCCAAAGCGTTTTACGATGTGCTACTTTCTTTCCTGGACTAACCAAGATTGTCAGTTGGCGCACCACGGCATTTGGTACAATATCTGTTCGTCGTACACGTTTTGAATACATTTTCTGTCCTGTCCTAAGGGAGATACCCATGGTTCCTTTCCCATCTTCCTTTCTCCACATATCCCGAGGGCGGAATTTGTTCTATATTATCTTATAATGGGCCATAGCAAATCCTCGACAATTCCGTTCCGACCATCGATAGAGTCCACAATATTTTCAATGTAGCTTTTAACTCGACAGCTCTCGTTAGTTGGTAGCGGAAAGGGAACACTCGTTCCGCATGGGACATCCTGTGGCCATGTTTAACAACGATCTTTGCTTTTACATGGACCATCCTACACTTCGGTGTTTGACCCCGAAATACTTCTAGTAGATCTATCTGGCTCTCAAAATTGAGGACAGTTATGCTTGCCATCTTGGCGCCGGAATTGATCTTCACTATGGCAGCTGAACAACTCACCGATATCAAAAGATTGATGAAAGTGTGCAACGCGGCTCAAAAAGAAAGAGATTGCGAGTCCGCATAGCCCACTTCATGGCTTTCAAAGCACACTATGCTCCCAGAACAGGCAGAAAATATATACCAGATCGATTTGCATCCAGTCAACACGGAGTGGTCCCTTCCTCAATGCTTCTGCATTCATTATTAACGGAAATAAAGGCATTCATCCAAGCCGGCGTCATTCATTGCTCAGACTTCCGAGATCAGGATATTGAGGACCGGGCGAAAGTCTATGCCTTTTCTAAAGGATTCGCCATCCTCCAGAGTAGCTGGTTTATGTGCAACATTATTGCAAGATGGGCTTCTGATCCACCGGTTTCTCCGATCGAATTATTGACCGTCGCCTATATGGATCTCGATTATCTGGAAGACTATTACAAGGCCTTTGCTTTCAACAAAAGCTTCGGCGAAGTTAATGGTAGGAGATGAAGTAGATGAGAATTATATACGGACGATATTATCGGAGCGTGGACTGTTCATTTTCATGTGTACTTTTGCCGCCAGCCTTTTCTGTGCTATCCACATTGCTGCGTAAGTTCTCCAACACCAATCGTACTCGCCGCTCGTTTATATCGATCAAACCCGAAAAAGGAAAAGAAAAAGATGGGCTAAATTTTTTTCTTCAACCTGCACAGGTGCAAGCTTGATTTCTAGTGGCGATGATTCGAGGTTCGAATCTGAGGTGAATCTTACTGGAGAGATAAAGCTCTGACCACATAGCATATATTCAATACCCCAATCGCTCTGGAATTCTATGTAACGAGCCCTCAAGTCATATCTAGTTTTCAATCTCATTTGGGGATCACTAGTTTGTCCAAATGATATTCAAGAGGTTGGGTTTCAGTTCGGTAGAACTTCGCCAGGCAAAAGAATTGAGTTAATCGCGAAAAAGACGTGAACCTAATTTGTCTCACCTCTACAGTGCTGCGTATTTTTCTCGCGCCCCTGCTAGGATCAGGGGAATTTATGGAGTCTACATAGTTTCTACATGCTCAATGACGTTAAGAATTCCAACTCTCTCTGAGCCCTCAAGGCGCGACGCGTCGCGTCTTCTAAGATAATCCCCCATCTTTCAACTTTCTCTCCTTTCTTCAACCTCATATCTCTTTCATCAATATATCGGACTCTGTCGAATCACGTATGCCACTTCCGAAAAGATTGCCCGTTTCTAATACCAATACCTTACTAGGTCCTGGCTCTGCCCGAGATACCACCCGACCCATAGATTGTCAACGCCAACGGACAATAAACTGGGGTAGGGGCCGGGAGGGGCCTGCGTTAGCGACTTTGAGCGTGTCTCAACAGCTGGTTCTTCTGCAAATCTGTCTTAAGCAAAAAAAAACCCCTACACTTAACCGCGACGCACTTCAGATTATTGGCAACGTGTCTGTTCTCACTTTTCGGTGATCGCGCGTTGGAACTGGATTCGAGTCAGGAATTACGTGCAGGAAAGGATCCGTCGGTACCGTGTAGAACCTCACAAAGTTCCCGACAATGCTGAAGGTCAAATGAAACAACTGTTGGGTCAATTGACTGCCCATATAGATCTTGTCAACGATCCGGTTTATCAAAGAAACGTGGCCCTATCAACTATGGGTTGGTGGGTTCCGGGATCTCAACGCCCTATACCAAGTCATCCTGGGCAAGGCGCTGCAAAGCGAACAGTTTCGCAGGCTGGGTTTGATGATGAGAGTAATTCGGATGGTAGGAGTCGTTGCGATGAAGCCGTACTGGTACATACTACCACATTGTCCCCGTCAAATAGAGGATTCTCCCCCACCTATTTCCTCGCGACGGCGACATACCAGCCCTGGTAGTTCTTCTGCCAGCACGCCCCCGCAAGCTCTTTCCGATCAAGAACTTATAGCGAAGAGCAAGGAAGCAGAAGAGCGGTTTGACTTTGATGAGGCCAAGTCTCGATTGCTTCAAATCTCGAACAAGATGATTCTTGGACCACTCCTGGAAGAATTGGATATGGCTCGTGAAAGTCAAATTCAAACCAACAAAAACTTTGAAAGACAAGCCAAGAAAGCCGAGCTGAAGGATGATTGGCAAACAGCAAAGTCTCTACTATCTCGTATTGTGGGCGAGGATGGGCCTTTCCTTCTCCTCGCGTTGGAGTACAGTGAAGCACGGATAGACTGGGCAATAGGTGACTCAGAAGAATTGCTGGAGCGGCTTAAGAAGGAATACCCCGACCTACGCCTTGAGTAGGTGGAGCTTGACGACAATTGTGAAAATGTAGAAATGAATGGCAACCCGGGAAAGATCGCTCATCACCAGGGTATCCTTCGTGCGTACAAAAGGAAGAACGGCTCTCTCTGGGACAAACCGGATGATTTCCGCAAGGTATTCCAGATGATGGCTGCAGACATGCGCCGTGCTCGTGACAAGGCTGGGTATGCATACCCAGCTCGAGCTAGGAAGGCGGACCTTCATTCTCAATCACATTCTGGAGCTCAATCCGAGCCTGACTCTGGTTTCGATTCTCATCCTAGTCTTCAACCAGAGACAAGAGGCCAACCTCAATCCCACTCTCGATCTCAGCCTCAGCAACTGGATATGAACCAAGAATTCCGCTTGTTAGAAAGGGCACAGACAGAGCTACTCAATGGTCATGACAGGGTCAAAGCTATCCTAAGCCAGGAGTCGAGCGAAAAATTCAGAAAAGTGCTCAAAGAATTGGAGCTCCATACATTGATGCTTCTCGCTGACTTGGCGGAGGCTGCGACTTGAATGATGGCCCTAGATGATGATGTGCCGGATCAATGGACACCTGAATCTCAAATGACATTACTGACTCACGCGGAACAGTAAAGAAGAACAGCTTCCTTAGAAGATGCGAGGCTACACTGCTCGCGGGGTCAATATTGGAAGATGTAGAGCAAGAATAGTGACTCAAGTCATGCTGGTGACGGTGATTGGAGTTAGAATGGAGTTGTGATTATGTACAATAGAAACTTGACCGGAGCAAGATCCTGATATCTGTAGTGTAATTTGAATGTCTTGACTCGATATACTTCAACCAGTCTTCTCCAACTCCTTCACACTCAACTCGGGAGAGCCAATTTTCTCATCAACAGGCATTGGAACCTCCCCATTCGTCTCTAGGCCAGAGCGCCAGTCTTCCACGGCCGGTGGGCTCCATTCCGCGGCACTATCAATAATAACCTGTCAGTACAAGTGCAAACCAGCTGTAACCAAAGCCATCAACTAGAACCACCTACCCATTTTCCTTCGCCTCAACCTCCTTCGTCCACTCCTCAGGAAGCGGCGGACGCGGTGTATCTGACGCGAACCCGTTATTCAAACCATCGGGTTTCCCAGTGCGCCCGTTATATCGCGGGTAATTTGAATCGGATTCCGGCCCTGGAGTGTCTTCGTTGTTCGCGTCCGGAGCCGAACCTGGAGTTTGTGGGAGCGGAGTTCCAGCAGCCTGATCTTGGATAGGAGTCTCAGATCCTCCATGCTTTATTCGACGTCCGAGCGGTGTTGATGTAGCGACTGCCCTGCTAGCTATGCCACTGTCTGAGCCCCTTGCCGATTGCTTGCGGCTGCCTCGGTTCAGGTGAGGTGGTGTGCTTTCTGCCCGGTGAGGGGTCTGGCACCAAGGGCAATCGAATTTGCCTGCATAGGCGCGGTGCCAGCTTGCGTGTGTGTGTTGTTGGTATCTCTTCATGATGGTGTGTTGTGGTTATGACGTGGGTATATACTTATGTCGTTGAGGGATATATGTACAAAGGGGTAAAATAATGGAGCAATTTCATGAGCTCTTTTCGGGGCCCAAACAGCTTTTTAAAGCGGGGATTGATAGCAATGGAACTATCTAGACGCACTTTTCTTTTTGCATCCTTACTGCTGATTTGGAACAGCCACCAAGTGTGCTGGCAATGCATTCGTGGGGTTGGGGGAGCCACTAATCCTACATGTGCAATAGCATTGGCGCTTGTGCATCGTCGATCTAATTTTAATACACAGTGGACTCGTAATTTTACTAAATTACAGCTCAATGGCATGATGCATCATAATGAATCATACAATCATATAACTTGCTTTAAAACGGTCTACAGATCCCATTTACTGACAGATGCAAGGAGGCAAATGAGGGAAAAAGACAGTCATGGACATTGGCAGGGAGCACTTCGAACTGAGTAAAGAAAATTGCCTTGAATGAACACCGAACTAATTGCTCCCCAGGAAAAACCGCTTCCGATAGTAAAAAAAATAAAGTGGTATGTGCCATGATCCGTCAAAAACTACATCACATGAATATAACGCCGGCAGTAGCCTATTCCCTCAAATAGAAAATATTCGTAGGAACTTTTGGTCGGAAAGATAGGAAGCGAGACGCTTAAGCGGAAGCAAGCTTGCGGATCTTCTCCTCGACGCGAGCCTTGCGCTCGGCGTGAGTGAGACGAGCGACCTTGTACTTCTTGGACTCGGCCTTCCACTCCTCCTTGGTCTTCTTGGGGCCGGCATCCTCATCGGCCTTGAAGGGGTCCTCACGGATGGCCTTGTGGGCATCGGCGTAGATCTCCTCGAGGTCACCAGCATCGATCTCGTTCTCAATGTACTTGATGAACTGGGACTTGTAGCGCTCCTCATCCTCATCGGCAAGGTTCTCCATGTACTCGGAGACGTGGCTACCGTGGATGTAGTTCTTGAGGGTCTCAGCATCGAGCTCCTCGGACTCGATGTCGTAACCGGGGAAACGGCGGTCGGAGTGGGGGATGAAGATACCACCGTCGGAGGCACCCTTCATGGCAGCGAAGACACGGTTACCGGTGGAGGTGCGGACAAGACCAACATCGAGGAAGGCCTTGAAGGGGCGGCGCTCGCCATCGTCGGTCTCGATGGCCTCGGTGAGAGTGTGCTCACCGGTGGCCTCCTCGACACCCTTGAACTGCTCGTCAAGGTTGAGCTTCTTGAGGACACGGCGGGCAAGGAGCAGGCCGGTGGCGTAGGCAGCAGCCCAGTTGGTAAGACCCTGGTCGATACCGTACTTGGGGAGCTCGTGGGCGTAGGCAGCGGCGAGAACCTTGTCACCGGTGACCTCAGAGTAGACAATCTGGGTGACGATGTCGCGGTTGGTGAAGCGAACAACCATGCGGTACTTGGGAGCGTTGTACTTGTTCTTGGCCTGGGTGATCAGGCGCTTGCGAGCATAGTAGTCGGTCTTACCCTCGCGACGGCGGCGGTACTTAGTCTGGAAGCGACTATAATTGAAAAGTCAGAAAACAGCGGCAAGAAAAATATTATCAAAGAATTCAACTCACCTGAAGTAGGCATCGTTCTTGGGGTTCTTGGTGAAAGGCTATAGAACAAACCCACGAGTCAGCAATTAACGCTTCAGAAATTACGCCGAAGCAACTTGCAGGGACCCGGCTCCGATAGGAATCGGAGAGAGAATAAAAAGCCAAAGGAATGCATAATGACTTTTCAGTCATCAGCGATCGAACTCACCATTTTGAACGGGTGTCGAGGGCGCTGGAGATGGACGAAGAAGAGGAAGTGGGAAATTTCGTGGGTCGACTTTGTGCGGGATTTCGCTTAGCGCGTGGCTGCATCCCCCTCCAGAAAGTGAGGTCGGCGACGAGTGGAACATCAACTTTCGTACTATGGGAAAGAAAAAGAAAACAACAATAAATTTAGGAAAATTGGAAAAAATTAAGAAAATGTTCCGAAATTCTTATTCTCCATGTTTTCTATATATCACCTGGATAGATTTCTCGAAATAACCAAATTTCTATCTATAACACCTCACAATCGTGCCTTGTCCTCGTCCAGCAACTGAAGGCCTGTGATTTTCTCCAGTTCTTTGACTGCATCTTGGGTCTTTCCAAGTGTGACTTTGACTGTACGCATGCCAGCTTTCTTTGCTCCCTTCAAGTTCTCGCCAATGTCATCGAAGAACACAACATCATCGGGATTACATCCGGCCAGTCCTCGTCCCTTAGCTAAAGTGTCCATCTCCTGCAACGCCACCTGGTAGATTTTTGGTTCGGGTTTCCGGAGGCCCGTGTGCGCAGACGAGATGAAGAAATCGAATTGCTTCTTAACATCGGATGCATTATTGTATTCATGCCCGTCGGGGAATATAGTGGTGTTGGATAGAGCGCCCATCAGGAACTGTCCTGACTCCTTCAATTTCTTCAGAGCTGGGTACATATATCGGTCTGGAGTGCGAGATACCCGCATCATCTCCCAGAATAGCCATTCTGCATCCACCGTCGGTAGTGGAGGGATGATAGAATCAGCTGTGCCTTGCTTTTGTTGAAGTTGTTGGTGGAATTGTTTCCATATCTCGGGGTTTGTTAGGTCCGCATTGAACCCCGCAAAGAAGTCCGCGTCCATCTTGATCTCGCCTCGCTCGAGCTTGTGCCAGCTACCGTCAGGCGCCGTTCGCGAGATACTAAAATTGACCCATCCTGGTGGGATATTCTGGGAAATTTCGTAGTCAAGAATAGCCTGGAACGGAGATACAACCTAAAGATTTGTTAGATATATATATCTTCAATTTTTAGGCCAAGTGGCTGACTTACACACACTCCTCCAATGTCGAACAGTAGGCCCACCGGCCGCTTGATCCTTGCCATTTTGATATAACAACAATAAGGCTTCTAGCGGTAGTAGTGGTCACCGCAGGATATGCCGCAATTTAATCCTAACGCGCAAACTAAATGAGTTGGGATGACCTTGAAATCGCAACGAATGAATTGTACTTTGAAAGCGATGTGGACATAAAAGACGGTCAGATTGCCGAGGTACGTACACTCTAGACCGAGGATATACCCCCACGCTAAGGAGCTCAGTTATCACCCTACTGCATCCATATGTGAACGACTTACTATCATTTAATCTGTATGTTTTAAATCATTTCCTTCATTTTATCGTGGTTTGTATCCAAATCTAAATTAGCCATCCCGCAAAATCGCATTTGCGGAGAGACACGTGATGTCTTATCGATAAGCACGCGCTCAGAGAAGACCACGGGACTTTTGGAGATTCAACAATGGTACTTCTCTAACACCATTTGGATTGTGTTCGACATGGACTCAACTCGAACTATATCTGAGTTGAAATCTGCATTTATATGGAGCCAAGTCCGCATCTTCTCCGAGAGCCTCGATTTACCCGAAGACTGGCGAAACTATGCTCCTGAAACCACGGAAGGTGATCTGAGTGACAAGGTGATCGAAGATGTTCTACACAAAGGTCAGAATACGAATCGCAATTGAACTGCACAAATTGATATGGTTTTGCGCCCATATATTATGCATATTATACTCATTGTCCTATAGTAAATGCAGCTGCTAAACAGCACAATCGTGTTGTTTATTCCTCCCAAGCAATACACCATGTCGCCCAACAGATTGCAAACCTGTACTGGTCGTCGGTTAGCCAAGAGGCACGCAGTCAGGATGCCTTTGCTCGAGGTATCGAAAAAACAACGGATTTGTCAAGGGGGATGTAAGATTTTATCCATCTCGATGCAATGTATGACAACACTGACTATATGGTTTAGGAACATCACAAAGATGCCTGTAAACTTGGAAAACCAGGAAGCAAGCGAAAGTGAGCATGAAAGGTCAGTTTTCAAACACATCCACACTTTCTCCGGTTGTAGTTCCACCTGCCTTACACTAGTCGTACAGATACCGGCAGCTCCGTGAGCGGCTGGCGAGTCTCGACGGTCAACGGCAGCAACGGCAACAGCGTCTTGATCAGTTACAGCATCTCCGGCGATTACTCGAGCCATTTGAGGACCCCCAAAAGGACATTCAACCTAATCTTATTACTAAGGATGGAGAACTTGTTCAAGAACTGGAGAAAATGCGCATGCTCGTAGCCAGAGCTGGAGGCCGGATTGCACAACATAAAAGAAGCAGCGGTGTCCCTGATACTTATGATTACTCCCTTCCAGGCTCTGATCAGAGATTGGAAGCCCTGTTGGATATGCCTTGACGAAACCAAAATACCCCATGCCCATAGGTACATATGTAAAATGAAGTTACTTTCGATACAACATAATTATGTACACATTTTCAATGCCTAGGTAGGTATCCATGTATGGTTTATTCTATAGACCGTAATTTCCTTGATTTTCTACCTGGATTTGGATCACGTTGCCCAGGCTACGGTAGTCCCAGTATATAGATATATATATATACATAGCTTCCATGAAGGCGGCACATAGTAAGCACAGTATGGCCTAATGGATGTCAACAAAGGAACATGAAAAAGGCAGGTACGACTCAATTATGACTGCTGGAATTCAATTACAGACTCCATAAAGCACATACCATTGCACTGAAGCATAGTTGAACATTTCGTACTGGGCGAGGGCCCATTTATCTCCAAATCTCGACCGTTATTGATCCATTACACTTACACACTCGTCCTCCGCCGGTCGGAAAGAAATAGGCTTTGCCCCACGGATATGTTGGGAAACTGACTCCCTTAGGTGAGTGTTTTTTGTCAATTCCATTTGCAGCCACCCTAGTTGTTATTTTCTATTTGAATGAGTGCCCTCAAGAAGACGAGGGACCTTGTTAGAATGGGACCATCACGTGAGAAATCACGATCACGTGTTGACTCGGCGCTAGCCCCACTTGCTAGCGTGAGCTCCCAGCACAACACGGTTGTCGACTGCCTATTAGAGACCTGTGATTCTGATCAGAGCTCCCTGGACGAGACTGCTATTGATTCAGACTCGAGCGATAGCAACGATACTATCCCTGGGTTGAGTATATCCGCCACAATCGAGGGCGACACTTCCCCCTCCCCTTCCAAGGCTTTCACGCGTGGGCATCGCCGTCGCTCCACGCACGTTACTCGCCGTGACCTTGAGAAGTTTCAATCGGAGGTCCTAGGCGTTCAAAACCACGCCTCTTGGTTCGACGAAGATAACGGAACTCGGCAACCCTCCACTCCTGACGATCCTCAACTTGAGGAACTGAACCGCGCTTTCGCCGACGCCGACGTCTCTATGAACAATACCGCTAGTATGGCTAGCAATGGTACCGGACCTAACAACTTCTCGGGTTATATGGAGAACAGTACTGGCTCAATGAACATGCCGCCCAATATCCCTCCCCGCCAGACTCCGTCTCCTTCTCCCTCACACTCTTCAGTCACCACTCAGGTCAATGGCGGCGGAATGGGAGCTATGGGCGCGGCAATTCCGATGAACGCTGGTCATCAGATGGATTTGCATCATTTATACGAGATGGTTGTGGAATTGAGCGATGTGTTGAAGAACAACCGGGATGTGACCAAAAACATCGTCGCGAATGCGGAGGAGATTGTGGTATGTGGGACCAACGAACATCCATTCATATTGAATATTCAGCTAACAAATATTTAGAAGAACGGTATTGCCGATAGCTCTGGTGCCAGTGGCCAGCAGGGCGATAACCTCAGTATGTTGACCCCTGGGAAGATCAATTCACATCCTAGTTTATTAACGCCTAGAGCAGCTGCCCGTATTGCTGAACTCGAGCGTGCCCTGGCCAAGGAAAAGCTTCTGAGTGCCGAGCACAAACACCATCGCGAGGAAAACATGAAGATGATCCGCGAGTTTGAAACCGCCGTGGGTGTTATGGTGGAGCAAATCCGTAACTACTGCCAAAACAACAACATGCATTACCTTGCCCAGAAGAAGCATTATAACAACCTCCTCCAGGCTGAGCGCGACGCTCACCTGGAAAGCCGACTTGATCGAGACTACTGGCATGCACAAACCATGAAATGTGCCGAAATGATCCGCACGGCCTACCGTCTCAAATGTGAAGAAGATGATGTCCCCACCCGCGTCATTTCTGGTCTGCAGAATGAGGTTCGTGCCTACCGCTTTGCGCTTGGCATGGAAGCTGAGAAGCCGGAGGAGGAGTATGGCTGGGAATATCTCAAGAATATCCCTGGTTTGGAGTAAAACAAAAAGGGGTGTATGGTGGGGAAGGACTGCGGAAACCGCTGTAATATTTCCGATGTCCGCTTGATGCCGTGATGACTGTTTCTTTTCATCGCATACCCCTCGGAGGCGTTCGTGTTTTTTTTTTTTTTGTTTTTTTTTTTTTCTGGTTATTGCTCGGCACTTTTCTCCCTTTCTTCCCCCTTAGAATATGGGGCGTTCCTAGGTGCTTTTATTATCGCGAATACCCGTATTTATTGAGCGTTATGGTGTTCATATCACCGAAAAATGGTCCTTATTTTAGGTCCAAACTAAAGTTCTCTTCTAATATCCCGGTCCCCGCCTTATATCCACTCCATGATGTTGTAGGTCATTGTACTCCGTAATAGTTGTCTGTATTCCGCCACCGGAGTGCCGAACGTTCTCCGGGTTTGGCTTCAATTCCACTCCAATTATTACTTTCTTTTCCATAAAAATACATCTCTCAACAAACATTAGCCTGTAGATCCCGGTACGTTACATACTCACGTGCCTCAAATTCGGATTATGTCACCTTAGGTCTGGACATGCTTAATTGCATCTAGGGTCTCCCAGTGTTACTTTTCCCTATCCCTTTTAGTAACCTCTTGCATGATTCCCACTATGCATTTCTTGTTGAAACAGGCGATGGCATTGGATCATTTACTGTGACGGGCGTACTTTGACGCATACTAGCTCTCGGTCGCAGATCATACGGCATACCCCCCAGCATTTTCTGGCATATTTCCCAGCTTTCCCACCTCATTCGTTGCCATCGGGCCTCTAGTATTGTCCACCTGATTCTCTTGGAAATCGCTTTACGATCATCAGTGGAAAGTGGGGGACCAGCCAATTATGTGTCGTTCAATCTAGTCCTATCCAGTCATTGCGCTCTTTATACAACGCCACACCGCTGATAAACCTCGACGACTGTGCACTGAAAAACTTACATTGTTTTGTCTCTCATTTTCGATTGAGGCATTTCAAAATGGAAGGAGTTCAGACTGTGGACGTGAGCTGGCTTCATCATTCACAAAAGGGCGAGTCCCACTTTCCATGCTAGCACCTCTCCGACCCCAGGTTTTTATGACTGGGCTGTTGGGGATCCGACAATCGGGACAGCTTCTGACGTATCACATTATCTTTAGACCATTTGTCTCGCACAAAATCAGTATCAGCGAGCGACAAGCCTGGCACCGAGTCGGAGCCAACAACCTCTCAATCTAAGTCGCAGCGGAGATCTCGTTCCAATAGCAATCCAGCACGCCCAACGCCACCCCCTCCACCTCAGAACCGAAGCAAGCACCTCATAACGATGCAGCTCCAGTACAGGCGAAACCACCACCAGTTGAGAAACATGAGGAGCAAAAGCCATCTACGCCATCACCAGCATCGCGCAAGACGGATCCAAAACCCATCGGACGACGAAACTCGTGGATCTCTACTCTAAGCTCAAAGTTTTCCTCTGGCACTACCCCGCCGTCGCAGGCTAGTCTGAAAGCTAGTCCCGCGAGCCCGAAAACAACTTCGCCTCTCGAACTCCATAACCCATTCGGCGCCGCCTTCTCTCCGAAGGACAAGGAGGAAGAGAAGAAAGACGAATCCAATCCCTTTACTTCTTCTTCACCTAAGGGGCCGTCGTTTATTCACAATGCTCTACGAAAGTTCTCCTCCAACTCAGGTGGGTTGCCCAAGTTGCATCCCAATGGCTCGATCTGTCCACGTCGCGTGATGAACATCGACGAGAAGCGACACCGATGCAAGATTGCGGACTTGAATCAGGCCAAACTCAACCGTGTGGCGTTCTGTGTGGATGTTGAAATTGCGGGCATCTCTCATCGGGACGATGATGAGGATGCTCCTCCAACGAATCAATTACGGCACCCTCAACCTGAGTCTAATAAGGCTAAGAAGGCTGATCTAAAGCCAAAAGAACAAGATGAAGCTGGAGCTTTGAACAATCCTGAGGCTACATTGGTCGCGAAGGACAGCGCATCTTCGGCTCCTGTTGCAGTTCCTGCCCCAACCACCGGTGATGTGAAGGCCGAATCTAGCTCTCCGCCGACAAATACCGACAGCAGCAAGCCATCTACGAACCCCACTCCCAGTGGGGAAGGGGCCGATCCAACAAGGAAGCAAGAGAAGAAAAAAAGATCCGAGGCAGAGCGAAAAGAACGGAAGGAGAGAAAACGAAGACAAGCGGTAGCGAATGGTTCGATTCCATTGCAACTCGATGCAGAGAATGACGAAGAGTATTCTCACGGTCCAGCACCAGCATCAAGTGTCCCTCGGTCCAAAACGCAAAGCCACCCGACAACCGATCCGGTGCGTATCTATCGCCGTTGTTGTCAGCTACGTGAGACTCCTGTTCTCAAGAGAGTGGTTGATGAGATCTCCAAACCTTCATCAACACTGGCCGAGTCGCCGGGCACGGTAGCAGCTTTGGATTTGAGCAATTTCCCGATGACCTCGCAGGATTTGACAACGTTCAGCGACTGGCTCGCGGTTGTTCCAGTCCGTAAACTCATCCTTGAAAACTGTGCATTGACAGATACTTCCGTGCGAGCTATTCTTTCAGCCCTACTTTCTACCAAGACCGTAGAGCAGATGCGCTATCGACGGAGGCGATCTCGAAGACCAGATTCCCCGGATTCCCTTGATCATGAACGATACGGCGTTGTGGAAAAGCTTTCTCTGAAAGATAACTTGAAGATAGGACGGGAGGGATGGCGTCACATCAGCCTTTTTATTCACCTCTCGAAATCACTAAAAGCTATCGATTTGTCGGGCATTCCTTTGCCTCAAGTTCAGGTTGCGATCGATGGTTCTGGGACAACGTGCCAACCCCATGCGCCTATGGCCGATGTGAGCATGGTCTTCGCGAGTGCCCTGGCAGAGCGTTTTGCTGGGAATTATCTTGAAGAACTGCTCATGAGCGAGTGTTATCCTTCTGTCGATGCCGTAAAACAAATCTGCCACGCGAGCGCAAAAATGGGTCTGCGGAGACTTGGCTTTGCGAGTAATGGCCTGACGAGAGAGGGTCTGGAGCATGTGGCTGAATATCTCAAAGCCGGACAGTGCGAAGGACTCGATCTAGGTGGCAACGCTATAACGGACGATCTCGATCTGATCACAGACGCGATTGAACCCGAATTACCGCTTTATGCGCTGAGTCTGGCAGATTGCTCCCTTAATGGGTCAGTGATTTATCCATTGCTCCAATCGCTTGCGCAGATCCACAACCTCCGGTTCATCGATTTCTCTCATAATCGCGAGTTATTCTCATCGCAGGCTAACACATTGGGCGCTTTCCGTCGCTTCCTGCCAAAAATGACGTCTTTGAAGCGCGTTCATCTTGCTAATGTCAATTTGTCATCGGACCATGTCATCGGTCTTGCTGAGGTATTGCCAGAGTGCCCGAGTTTGTGTCATCTGAATATTCTAGAGAACCAACAGATTGTGGATTTGGCATCCACCATAGACCCTGTTGCTCAGGAAGAAGCATGTGCTGTGTATGCGTCTATGATGGCAGCCGTCCGTGTCTCACGTACAATCATTGCAGTTGATATCGAAGTTCCTTCCGCAGAAAACAACGAAGTTATTAAAGCTCTTGGTTCCCAGATTGTGGCTTACTCGCTGCGGAATCTTGAAGGTGGCGCCATTGCAGAAGAGCTTTCTGGCTCTCTTTCTCCACTTGAGATCCCTATACCAGACGTTTTGCAGCACCTTGTAGGACACGGACACTCTGCCATTTCTGAAGAGCCTTATGATGATGAAGATGAGGCCGCTCCCGACGAGGATTATGTGATTGGTGGCACAGGTGTGGTAAAAGCATTGGGTGTTTGTCTCGGGAATCTGGACCAGCATGGTCTCGATGTTCTCGGCGATCAATCTTTACCACCCAGTGGTACCACAACACCCCGACGCCGCAAGTCCCGAGGTGTTCCTACCAAGCGGCCTCGCGACATGTCGAAGAATCTGCTGGAATCCGCGCGCAACATCAGAACCCGGATCCAGTCCGCTCTTATTCGCGAAGATCGTGCTGGTAATGACACGAACTATCGCCGCCTTCAATTTTTGGACATGACCTTGCATAAGATGATCCAACGCTTCGAGGATGAATACCCAGAAACTCGCATCGTTCCTCAACTTCCGCCCGCTACCCCGGTCCCCGACACCATCTCCCAACACTCTGGTGATGACGATGGCAGCGGCTCCTTCGCTGCTGGTGGTAATATGAACAACAGCCAGCTTGACGAGACTGGCGGTGATGAGGAAGACACCGATCAATATGCCGTCCGTCTTTCTCGTACCAGCTCCATGACTTCTCTCCACTCTCGGGCCATGACCTCTCAAGAAGGACATGTCCACCGCATCGGCCAGAACCTCCGTCGCGACTTCCTCAAGCCTTCTTTAGTTCCCAGCGACGGCGACGAGGATTTCGACTACGAGGACGATACTTCGCATATTGCCGCTCTCCGGCAGAAGCTTGATCTTCTTCACGAGCAACAGTCTCTGTCTCAATTCGAAGGCTTTGACGCCGACATGGCCTTTAATCATCTCGGGACTACTGTCGATGACCTTTATCATTCTCAGCAGCAAGATGCCGAAGGATTCGAGCGCTTCAAGCAGTCCCAGATTGCTGCACAGATCAACAGTGGTATTCGTTCCAGAGATATCATAGAACCTAGGACAGGCTCCGACGAACCGGAGAGCAAGTCCCCGTCTTGAGTTTTCCCATTTTCATTGATTATCATTTATTATCATGATCTTCAAATATTAACTCCTTATGTATCCTTTTGCGAGCTTGTGCTTTATTATACCTGTACATAATTTTTGCTTGCATTTTTTTGAGTGGCATTTACCCAGCGCGGTCTTGTGTACATACATACGTGGTGGGCACGAGAGAAGGGCGGAATATTGTTACCATTAGCATCTTCACTGCTATTGCCCCTTTTTTCTACATGGCTCTATATCTACGTATGGTTGTTTCAGGGCTTTATCACTTCCAATCAAGGAATTCCCCCGTCTCGATGTATGTTTTCCCATTAAGTGTCTTCCAAGTAATATGGTATGGTGTTGGCTGCCTCAGGCCAGAATTTGCTCTCCTTAACACATGATATTCTAATCCCCCATCTTAGATCTATTAGAAGATTGTACTTTACGTGATATGAAATATGTCCATGTATTTTTTTAATAATTGAAGCTTGAATAAAGATCATCAAAGTGTACAAATGCAGATAGTCCGGTCCGGGTGAGATTACCTGAGAGTGGGTTCCTCGGCTGAACTTTGGAACATCCCCCAGTTTCCTGGGGTATCTATCACATGTCACCGTCATGACAATGGCCTCTTTCTCCTCAACTCCCTCAACTTCCTCAACAGCGGACATGTACGCCCCCAAATCTGGCTGATAAGCATCCACCAGCTCCGCCATGGCCGCTCAGTCCAAACTACTACCCCCCGAACGCTCCATCAAGCAGATCCTCTCCAGCCTAACAACCCTCTACCTACGAAACCGCACCCGAATCTCACGCGCCGTATATCTCGCCCTCTTCGCCGCGCTCGCCAAACGAATCCACAATGCCATTTCCGAGCAGAAAGCCGCGTCACAGCAGGTAGATCTGCGCCGTCGGCCCGGCACCAGCAGTCTAGGAGATGAGGAACAACCCCGCAAGAAGCGCGTGGAGATCAATCGGGAATTCTTCAAGAACTTGCTCCGTTTATTGAAGATCGTCATACCCGGATGGCGAAGCAAGGAGCTACGACTGCTGGTGAGCCACAGCGTCTTCCTGGTGGTGCGGACGCTGCTTAGTTTGTACGTTGCCGAGCTGGACGGAAGACTTGTGAGCAACTTGGTGCGCGGTAAAGGGAAGGATTTCTTGCTCAGTCTTGTCTGGTGGATGATTGTGGCTGTTCCTGCTACTTTCACTAATTCTATGGTAAGTACCCGGTAATGGGATCACGGATTTCGGTCAGCGATGATGGCACGCGACCGTTTAATACACCTGCTGACTCGATGATTTGTTGTATTAGCTCTCCTACCATCAGTGCAAGCTTGCTCTCAGCTACCGAAAGCGACTCACAGACTATATCCACGAGAAGTATCTGTCTAACATGACTTTCTATGCTATCTCCGCCTTGGATGATCGAATAAAGAATCCCGACCAGCTTGTCACGGTTGATGTGTCTCGCTTCTCGGATAGTTTGGCAGAGCTGTATTCCAATTTAGCTAAGCCCATTCTCGATATGGCTATTTACAACTACTCGCTCTCTAAGAACGTTGGGGGTGAAGGGTTGTTCATCATGAGTCTGCTAGTGCAGTTGTCGGCAAACGTGATGCGCATGCTGACTCCACCATTTGGCAAATATGTTGCCGATGAGGCCCGTCTGGAGGGCGAGTTCCGGTTCCTCCATTCACGGCTTATTGATTACAATGAAGAAATCGCGCTTTACCACGGCCACGAGGCCGAGAAGGATACCCTGGACAAGGGTTATTTCACGCTGATCAAGCATGTGAACCGCATCCTGCGTCGGCGGCTTTACCATGGATTCATGGAGGACTTTGTGATCAAGTATTTATGGGGAGCTATGGGCTTGGTACTCTGCAGTGTACCTGTCTTCTTCAAGATTCCCGGTCAGGCTACCCACAGCCTGAAAGATCACACTGAAAGTGAGTTATTCTTTGATCTTGAGTTTTTACATTCTAATTACTTCCAGGCTTTGTTACAAATCGTCGAATGTTGCTTTCCTCCTCGGATGCCTTTGGCCGATTGATGTTCTCCTACAAAGAGATCTCGGAGCTGGCTGGCCACACTTCGCGTGTTTCCTCATTACTTGAAGTGATGGATGACCTCCTCGCTGGAAGGTTCGAGAAGAAGTTGGTATCTTCCGCTTCGACAGAAGAGAATGCGGCGGTGCTGTCTGGCCGGGGTGAAATCATAGAAAGCGACGCAATCGAGTTCACAGACGTACCGATCGTATCCCCGAACGGTGACGTGTTAGTGCGTAAACTGTCCTTCACCGTTAACCCCGGCGACCACCTTCTAATCGTCGGCCCCAACGGGTGCGGCAAATCATCTCTCTTCCGGATCCTAGGCGGGCTCTGGCCGGTATACGGAGGCACGGTGAAGAAACCGCCTTTCCAGGATATTTTCTACATTCCCCAGCGACCATATCTGTCCCGGGGGACGCTGCGACAGCAAGTGACTTATCCAGATGGAGTACGCGAGATGCGCGCCAAGGGTGTCACTGACGCCGATCTGTACGAGATCCTATCAATTGTTGAAATTGCGTCTGTTGTAGACCGTCCTGGAGGCTGGGACGCAGAAGAAGAATGGCGTGATGTGCTATCTGGTGGTCTGCAACAGCGTATTGCTATGGCTCGGTTGTTCTATCACCGACCCAAGTTTGCCATTTTGGACGAGTGCACTTCCTCGGTGACGTTGGAAATTGAGAAGGTTATGTATGAGACGGCCAAGAAGCTTGGCACTACGCTTATGACTGTCTCGCACCGACGCAGTCTCTGGAAATATCACCAGAAGATCTTGCAGTTTGATGGACAAGGCGGGTATATCTTCACCGGTCTAGATTGGGAGCGACGCTTGAAACTAGAAGAGTAAGTTTCCCTGTTTTCCCCTGTTTTCCCCTGTTTTCCCCTGTTTTCCCCTGTTTTCCCCTGTTTCCCCCTGATTTTCCCTTTTCCCTGTTTTTGCGGATTTCCACACCGAATGCCTATTAACCGTCGCGCAGTGAGAAGGAAGAGTTGAATTTGCAATTACGGGCTGTACCGGAATTGGAACGTCGGGTTGCCGAGTTAACGGCTTAGATTTCCTAAATTTATTCCTATTGATCCTATTTGCCCCATTTGGCCCCCTTAGCGCTGAAATAAATGATGTACTTTTGCATCCACTTTCCATGAAGTTGGCCAATCTCATCAAATTCCCAACCTCGGCCTTCCACTCTTCGGCTTTTTTGATTTTTCTCACTGGACCCCTGTGATGCTAGCCAATCAGCGTTTGTTATATCAACACTTCTCACGATGTTGAGCTGAGCCTCGATGGCCCACACTGATGTCGTTAGAGATATCCCTACGTCATTTTTCCTGTCGATCTTGATTGCCACGGAATACCAGGTTCTTCAGGAAAATTCTTACTTAGGATGGTCGCTTGGCTGTTTTTTATTTCTTTTACTTCGTCTTTATAAACCATTCTTTCCATATACATACGCGCCTATAGAACAGACCTTCTAAATTCTATACCAAAATGACTATCGCCCAGACAAAGCCCTATCAAAAGAGAAAGATTATCATCTTCTCCGGTATGCAAACCCCATATACCATCCCAACCCTATACTCTTCAATCCCAATCCCAATCCCTAACCTCATACAACACCAAAGAACCCAAACTAACAACCCCCCAGACTTCGACGGCACAATCTTCCTACAAGACACAGGCCATGTCCTAGTAGACAACCTCGGCTGCGGCGCAGCCTACCGCCAAAAACTCGAAGAACAATTTAAAACCGGCGAGCGAACCTTCCGTGAAATCTCAGATGATATGTGGGGATCCCTCACAATCCCCTTCGGCGACGGCTTCGACATAATGGAAAAAACCCTCGAACTGGACCCTGGCTTCCGAGAATTCCACCAATACTGCGTCGCCGAGGGTTTCCCCTTCAACGTAATCAGCGCAGGCTTGAAACCCGTTCTGCAGCGCACACTGGATCTATTCCTAGGAGAGGAAGAGGTATGTCAATCCCCGCGCCCATCACCAATCAACCAATCCATAAACCAATTACATCCATATCCAAACCCGACAACCCTAATCACAACCACCCACTAACACAATCCCATCAGGCTTCTTCAATCGAAATCGTCGCAAACGACCTCCAATCATCAAGCGGCGGTACGCCCTGGAAACCCGTCTGGCGCGACAACACCGACTCGGGCCACGATAAAGGCGAGAGCGTGCAGAAAGCACGCGCAAAAGCACAGTCCGAATGCGAGCCCGACGAGATGCCCTTAATCATCTTCATCGGCGATGGCGTGTCTGATCTCGCCGCCGCCCGAGAGGCAGATGTCCTCTTTGCTCGACGCGGTCTGCGACTCGAGGAATACTGTATCGAGCATGGGATCCCGTATACGCCTTTCGATAACTTCTCGCAGATTAAGAAGGAGGTTGAGGCGATTAGTCTGGAGGATCAGAAGAAGACCGGTGGTGTGGGTAAGCCTGTGCGGTATAATCCGCGTGCGAATATGTGGAGGAGGATTTCGAGTAAGGAGGCTGTATGTGTTCCCTTTTTCAGAAAGAAACCTGGATTTATTTTCGTGGGCGCTTTGGCTAACAGTGTTATTGCAGGTTCCGACGCTTATGGCTAAGGCTACGCCTTCGCAGGACGAGAAGATGACGCTTTGGCCGGATTATTTCTCTCAGCCTAAGCAGCCTCAGCCGGAGACGATTACGGAGTGAAGTTTTTACTGGGAGATTTTGACGTATTTATGGTTTTATGTTGTTATGTTTTAAATTCTTTTTGGGGGGTTCGCTTTTTGCATGGAGTGGGTGCTGGACATAGATTGGGTTGCATATATTACCTAGTTCTGCATAGACCAATTGCATATAAAGGCTTATAACTAGTGATAATATCAATAGCCTGAATACCACTGGAAACGCCCTTTTGAAGCCGTAAAAGAAATTGATATATAAATGCTAAGCATACTGATGAGTTCGCAGAACCAATGAAAAACGCATGTGAATAACCAAATCATAAAATAAAGACATACTAGCACCGCTAATGTCAATCATAGTCTGTTTAGTCCGTAACATCCAGAGGCTCAACATTCCAGATGCTATCAGCGTACTCGTTAGTAACGCGATCCATAGAGAAGAATCCCATGCGCGCAACAGAAGTAATCGACTTGGCAAGCCACTCCTCCTTATTCTGGAAGGCCTCGTCGACCATCTCGTGGGTGGTGATGTAGGAGTTGAAATCGTCCGAGACGAGGTAGTAATCGCCATGATCTTCGATGGAGCTTGTGAGGGCGGAGAAGTCAGCTTTGTCGCCGAACATGTTGTCTTTGATTGCGTTGAAGACACGCTCCAGGTGGGGGTCCAGCTTGAAGTCGCCATAGAAGTGTCGGTGACGCAGCTCCTCGACGTCCTCAGCGAGATTGCCGAAGAGGAAGATGTTCTGCTCGCTGATTTCGCGGGTGATCTCGATCTGTGAGATGGGTTAGTATTGTTATCACTAGGACTGAAGCTGGATATATGTGGAAGAAAACTTACGTTAGCTCCATCGCAGGTGCCGATGATCAGACCGCCGTTCAGGACAAACTTCATGTTGCTCGTGCCACTGCCTTCGGTACCGGCAGTTGAGATGTGCTCGCTGATATCCGAGGCAGGGCAGATAATCTCCGCCTTGCTGACGTTGTAATCCGCGATGAAGATAACCTTCAAAAGGTCCCCAACATCCGGGTCCTTGTTCACAACATCGGCCACCTTGTTAATGAGATGGATAATGGTCTTCGCCATCCAGTAACCAGGGGCTGCCTTGCCTCCGAAGATGGAAACCCGAGGCACCACTTTCTTCTTCTCTTCAGCTGACATGGCTTTGATACTCAAGTAGCGGTGGATGACTCCAAAGATGTTCAGCTGCTGGCGCTTGTACTCGTGGATACGCTTCACCTGCACGTCAAAGAGGGCATTGGGATTGACATCGTATCCCGTGGTGGCCTTGATGTGTCTGGCTAGACGCAGCTTATTCTCCCGCTTGATAACCGCCCACTCCTCGCGGAAAGCCTTGTCGTCGACAAAGGCCTCGAGCTTGTCCAAAAGAGTGAGATCCCTCAGGAAGTCATAGCTTCCAAGCTTCTCTGCGATCAACGCAGACAACCTGGGGTTGGCCTGGTGGAGCCAACGTCTCGGGGTGATACCGTTGGTAACATTGGTGAAACGGTCCGGTCCGTAAATCTTCACAAAGTCTTTGAAGAGAGTGGTCTTGAGTAGGTCTGAGTGCAACTCGGCTACACCATTGACTTTGTGAGAGCCAATGATGGCCAGGTAAGCCATGCGCACCATCTTGGGATGTGACTCTTCAATGATGGAGACACGCGACAGGATATCCCGATCATTGGGGAATCGCTTCTCAACGGATTGCAAGAAGAACATATTGATGTCATAGATAATTTGCAAGTGTCGTGGAAGCAGGTTCTGCATCAGCGGAACAGACCACTTCTCCAGCGCTTCGGGGAGGACAGTGTGATTGGTATAACCGAAGGTCTTGGTCACGATGGTCCACGCCTCATCCCATTCCAAGCCCTCCTTGTCAATCAAGATCCGCTGCAACTCGACAATGGCAAGGGCGGGGTGGGTGTCGTTAAGCTGAATGGCGACCTGATCAGGGAACTCGCCCCAGGCGCGCTTTGTCTTCTTGAATCGCCGAATGATGTCAAACAGGGAGGCAGCACACCAGAAGTACTGTTGCTTCAGACGCAGTTCTTTGCCTTGCTCGAGGTTATCATTGGGGTAGAGAACAGCCGAGATTGTCTCTGCCCTCTGCTGGTCCGCCACTGCGCTTTCATACTCTCCAGCATTGAACTTTTGGAAGTCAAACTCTCCGCTACTGGCCTTGCTAGACCACAGGCGAAGGTTGTTGGTAGTCTTCGTGCCGTACCCGGGAATGGGGACATCGTACGCGATGGCTTGAACAATCTCACCATCCTCCCACGAGTGTGCGATCTTGCCACTCTCATCCTGGTACTTTTTGACGTTACCGTAGAACTGGATGTCAACTGTGATTTCGTGTCGCGGGAACTCCCAAGGGTTGTTATCCAGCCAGTAGTCTGGAACCTCCACCTGGTAGCCATTGACAATCTCCTGCTTGAAGATACCATAGCGATAACGCAGGCCGTATCCCCAGGCTGGGTAGTTCAGCGTCGCCATGCTGTCCAAAAAGCATGCCGCCAGACGGCCCAGACCACCGTTGCCCAATGCCGCATCATGCTCCTGGTTGATAACGTCCTCAATTTGGAATCCAAGATCGCTCAATCCATCTGGTAACATCAGCAATAATTCAAATCATAGATATTCTTAGCACTTACCGCGAGCGGCATCCTTCAAGCCAACATTCAGCATGGCATTGTCCAATGTACGTCCCATGAGGAACTCAAGCGACAAATCTATAACGATTAGCCATTGTCTTCTGCCACGAGGCTGGACACATACAGTAGATTCGCTTCTGATCTTTGAAAGTCTGACGCTGCTGAGTCTTGTTCCACTCGATGATCAATCGGTCTCTAAAAGCAAGCGCAGTTCCCGAGTATGCGGCCCTATGGAAAAGCCCGAAGTTAGCAAGAACCAATTGAATCGAGGATGCAAAGCACATACAGCTCATCGCAGTTATACATCGAGCGAGCGAGAGTTGTTTCAATATGGCGCACGAGATCTCTCTGCAAAAGACGTTAACCAAAGTACCAAGTGCGGATGCAAGTAAAACCCACCTCGAATTCATCTTTATTCTTGAATTCAGTAGCCGACTGAATTGAATTGAAGCATTAGTATCCCAGCCTCAAATTCCGATTTTACCTAAACATACATGTTTTTTCCAGCTACAAGCTATTGTCAGTCCAAATATCACCAATCAGGTACATATGTACTTGGGAAGGTACTCACGCCTCTCGCAGTTCCTCGGGAATACTAGCTTCAACATTCTTAATTTCGGAGGGCCCAAAGCCAGTAAATGTTCGCTTGTGCTTAGGGCGACTGAATCCTGGGCCGACAGGACCTTGGAGATCGGCGATAGGAGCTCCTATGGAAGGTCTTCGCTCCCGAGGAGCTTCGGTCGGTGCAACCTCAACTGGGTCTGGGATGGATGTCGACATGTTGAAAAGAGAAAGGGGAACACAATGAAGTTTGATAAGCTACTGGAGAAAGTCCAGTACAGAAAAGAGGAAACTGGAAGTACAAGGATACTGAAAGAGAAAGAGGGGAAGGGCGATGTTCATGTAGTCATGACTTTTGGAGTGACACCGGACAATTCTTTTTTTAGGATATTTATTTATTGCCTTCTTATTCTAAATGGCTTAGTTTACTTTCTCTTTTTAGCCTGTCACTGGGAGTACTGAGATAAATACGTCATTTGTCTATTAAAATGTGCTCTATAAATCTTGATTTCTACTCTGTACTTTGTACCCTAACATCCAACGGTCTGTGCATGTGACTATCTTCCAAGACAACATCATGCCATGTCAATTTCTCTCGAATTAAAACCCTCGAACTGGATTTACACTATATGAACGCCACTATAAATTCCCTGCCCTGAAAGCCCAGGCCCGTTCGGATCCGGTCTCGGCTCCACAGAGCTATCCTGTTCCTCTCCCGAAACCCGTAACCCGTCGACCTCCGGGCTATCCACGAAGTTCCGTACTCAGTTCTATATTTTCCCAATTGTGAGTTCAAAATCCGAGCTCACCGAATACCTGCAAACCTAGATACCCCGCGAACGCACAGACGTGATTGCATGGAGGCCCAGTACCGTGCGCCAACGAGACCCCGTGCTTTATCATGATTTGGTCATAAACCTGGGGTAGCTGCCTAAATATGCTACAGCGGTGTGGGCTTTGGAGGGGGTTCTAGCCCGCGGGGTCTTGGAGCTTCATCACAAGGGGGGAATGTTAGTGGGGCTTTGGTATTTGCTGTGTGTGGGTAACTGTGGATGGGAGGGGTTGCGGGCTTGTGCTTTGGTTTGGACGCTGTGAAGGCGGGGAATTGGATTTGGTAAGACAAGAAGGATGCTGTAGACTGGGGGATATCGATTGATATCTCTCTCTTGATTCCTTTGTTCCTTGGAAAGGTGCCTCCTCTTCTCCTTATCTCACCCCCCGAACGGGATATCAACAACCCATAGGAGCTAGAGCTTAGCTTTCCAAGCGTAAGAGCTTCTCCCCACCACCGATCTATATTAAAAACATCTACGGCGGACAGTAGAAACAAAAGCGGACTCGAATGGGAGAGTTGATATATGTATTGACCTCGGGAGGCTCGGCTATGTAAGCCCGAAACACCAACTCCGTTCCCGACCAAGCTCTGGGAGAATCGCAACCTAGCACAGGACCTATACACAGAAATCCCGGTATATAATATAGATGAGAATCCTCGGGTGGTTGAAACAAGAACGCTCAAGCACAACCTAGCAATAAACAAAAAAGTATCCCAGAAGCATCAGACGTGGAAGCGCTTGGAAATATCGGGGATCAATAGTGAGGTGCGATGGGAGAAGGGAAACACAGATAAAGGGGGAACGAACAAGTAAAACAAAGAGAAATTAGCGCAAGGGGAGATGAATATCAGAACAGAACATGGCAACATCGGAAAAAAAAAACCGCCCTGGTATGCATGAGGACTGGAAACAAAGCCCGGAGGCAAAGAAATATAACAAAGGCAAGGAAACATAAAGCCCATTGGGTGGTGGGCTG